TGCCCAGAGTCCCCTCTTACATCAGACTCCCCAGAGTTTCCCCTTATTTGATAGTGTAGAGTTAACCCTTATGTGTTTCTTGTGTGTGAATTGGCTTACTGAGGCTGGCAGGCAGCAGGGGGCACCTCAATTAAAATGTAGATTGTAATGCTGGGAAGGGCAGGGATTGGGGAGGCAGTATGTCATTGGTTGGTTGCTAGGACGGCAGGCGATCCTAGCAAACAACCACCAGCGGCGTCTTTCAGCCCACCGTCATCATTCAACTCCCTGGCTACTGGTGGATGGTTGCTAGGACTCCAGACAGTCTTAGCAGCTAACCGCCAGCAGTGGACAGTGGGGGTTGAATAATGACAGTGGCAGTCTGATGCACCATGGGTCCGCGAAAGTTCGCCAACCCACAGAGCAGCATCCACCCTTCAAGTGGTGCCCAAGGCATGTGCCATATGTGTCATACCCTGGATATGCCACTGTGCACCGTTACATTATTGTGGTTCACACTGGAGACACATGAACTTTGCTGATTATTGGATGTAGAGTGAGATCCATGAACTTTGCTGATTATTGGATGTAGAGTGAGATCCATGAACTTTGCACATTATTGGATGTAGAGGGAGATCCATGAACTTTGCACATTATTGAATGTCGAGTGAGATCCATGAACTTTGCACATTATTGGATGTAGAGTGAGATCCATGAACTATGCTCATTATTGAATGTAGAGTGAGATCCATGAACTCTCTTCATTATTGGATGTAGAGTGAGATCCATGAACTCTGCTCTTTATTGGATGTAGAGTGAGATACATGAACTCTGCACATTATTGGATGTAGAGTGAGAGCCATGAACTCTGCTCATTATTGGATGTAGAGTGAGATCCATGAACTCTGCTCATTATTGGATGTAGAGTGAGATCCATGAACTCTGCTCATTATTGGATGTAGAGTGAGATCCATGAACTCTGCTCATTATTGGATGTAGAGTGAGATCCATGAACTCTGCTCATTATTGGATGTAGAGTGAGATCCATGAACTCAGCTCATTATTGGATGTAGAGTGAGATCCAGGAACTGTGCTCATTATTGGATGTAGAGTGAGATCCATCAACTCTGCTCATTATTGAATGTAGAGTGAGATCCATGAACTTTGCACATTATTGGATGTAGAGTGAGATCCATGAAATTTGCTCATTATTGGATGTAGAGTGAGGTCCATGAACTGTGCTCATTATTGGATTAGAGTGAGATCCATGAACTTTGCACATCATTGGACGTACATTGAGATCTATGAACTTTGCACAGTATTGGACCTATGGTTGTATTTCACGAAAGGAATTGTGGTTTACACATTGCACATTATGCAGTTTGGTTTAGGTGTGGGGTTTTTTTGTTGTTTTTTTTTAGAGCGGAACACAGACACACACATAGATGTTAAAGTAAACCTGTTGCTTTGCCCTTTATGGCAGTCTCCTCATAATTGAAGTGGTTGCTTCTTATCTCTTCATTTTTTTTCTCTAGTATTCTCTGCTTATTTACAAGATCCAGCAACAGTGGTTTTACTTTTACATTTGGTATGACGAATCATCTATTAAATTATAATAGTGTATAATACTAATATAATAATACTGTAAATATCGGTGTATATGAGGTTTTTGCTGTTGGGGTCAAAAACGCCACCTGCTCTGCTTCCAAACTAGCTTATGTACCTTTCTGAGATTGAAGGCGTTAAGCTAAAGGTGTCTCTCATATGGGATGAGGCACAATTTAAAAGCATGGGACTTGTTGGGTTGTTAAAGTGCAAATAAACCTTACCAGAGTGAAAGTTACCAAAGAGGTAAAAACGTACCTGTTTCTACGCCACTCGCTCCCGTCCGAAGTTCTGAACATTCTCGAGGAGCCTTGAAGGATTATGGGGCATGTGCATGCGCAGTAGAGATCTTCGGCCAGGAGAAGAGGAAAGACACAGTGTAAGTCAATGCACACAACCAGCAGCATGCATGCGCACAGACACTGTGGGACACAGAAGACACAGCAGTCATCGCTGTATCAGAGACCGGCACCGGTGCTGGAGGGACTCCTAAAAACTACTGGAAAAGAAGAAGATGATCCTCAGAGCAGCATTGGGGCGGCGAGGGGTGACTATCATGTAACTTTAAGCATTTTGGAGCTTTGAGCTTTAAGCTACAGAACACTCAGGTGTGAATGAAACTAAATCTTTTCAATCTCTTTAAGGTCTGATGCTTTCATTTAGGGCTTTTGTGCATGGCTGCTTGTGGGCATTTGACGTATAATCCAACATATTTCCGCTGCTACGTAGCCTCAGGTGCTGAAAGGCTCCCATAGAAGTCTGGCTGTAGGTGGGTATATGCTGAACTTGCATAAACACGTCCATGTGTATAAGCACACAACCCATATGTGTTGTGCACCAGTACACATGTGCGTATTTACCCAAGTTCAGCGCATTCCCACGTGTAACCATTGACTCTTAT